CTGCTTGTGGCAATATATTTCTTTATTTTAAAAATTGATTTTATATTTAACTTGTTCAAATTTTATTAAGTATACACAGAAGTACATGAAAATACTGTATCCATTTTGGTATTGCACATTGGGCTTGTATATTAAAAAATCATTTTTCTCCTTTCCTCCAATACCCTGATAAAACCCATTTTTACTCCCCTCCTCTCCCTATATTTCTTTACCCTCCCCAACACTAAAAGATTCTGCCAGTCCTAGCAAGCGTACATCAGTCAGCAGTTTCCAGTCCACAGTGGACAGTGACTCAGCTGCTTCTATCAGCCTGAACGTGGAGCTGGACAACGTGAACTTCCATATCAAGAAGCCCTCCAAGTACCCACATGTGCCCCCTCACCCTGCTGACCAAAAAGGTAGGAGGTAGTCACCATCTGGAATCCAAACACATGCTGGAGAGCTGGGCCATAGGATCTCATGTCAGCCTGTCCTTCTGGCTTCCTCTGTCCCGTATGGCTGAGGGGATTTGGTGTGGGTTTTGTTCCACCCTTTCTCATTTTCCCCACACCTCCTCCTTATACCTTTTTTGGTTAATTCCTTTTATTTCTTATTTTCTCTGTCAGTACCACCATGCCCAGTTTAAAGCTTGTAGTCTTTAAAAGGAACTACATCTGACTGTTTTTCTCATAATGTGCAACTTCCAAGGTGGCATTTATTTCTTTGCATTTATAACATGGATGTTCTGCTCTATTCTTTTCTCTTTCTTCATTTAATATTTTAAAGCATATTTGCCTTTGCTGTTACCCCGTAACATAGTATTTCACTAAACCCGTTAAGATGCTTGCACTAGATTGGGGAAAATCATTCACACATTTCAAAACATCTTTCCACTATAATTTAAAATGCTTTTTATATATATACTATATGTATGAAATGAATTCATTCTTTATTTTTAGCTATCTTATTTGATGCTTTAGTATATTGACTCAAAAATAATAATGGCCATATTCAAAAGACATTTGGTATAAAAGGAAAAATAATGTAAACCATTACTAAAATCTAACATATAGCACATAAGAAAAAAAATGCCTGTTTTTTAAATGGATGATGAGGTTTACTCTATTGTGTATAATTAAAAGCCTATTTAAATTATAGCCCTAGGCTGGACCCAGTGGCTCCTGCCTATAATCCCAGTGCTTTAGTGCTTTGGGAAGCTGAGGCAGGAGGATCATTTGAGCCCAGGAATTGGAGGCTGCAGTGAGTTGTGATCATGCCACTGCACTGCAGCCTGGGTGATAGAGTGAGACTCTCAAAAAAAAAAAAAAAAAGTTACAGCCCTAAAATGGCATTAGGTATAAATAAATAAAAAACACATGAGTAAATAAATAACTATTGGATTTTATCATATTATCATCATTTTATATCATATTAACTGAAAAATCATTGTTACAAAAATGAAGCACTTCATTCCATGATTTCACTTGGAGTTTGAATTTTGAACATTTAATACTCTAAAGTTGAATTTTCTCTTCACTTAGATTTGAAATGCTTGCCTAATTCTTTGCTGCTTTCTATTTTGAACCTAAAAATATCAGAAAAGAGAAGTTCTTAAAAATAATTTGGAAGAAATTTACAACAAATTTCCACAAGAAATTTCTCATAATTGTCGGAATTAGCCATTATCAAGATGTGGTAAAATGGCATTTAAGAGTTATAATAATAAAAAGGTATATCTTATTTAAAAATAAGGAATTTAGAGAGAGGATGTGGTAAAGTGATAAAGGAGGAGACTTGCCTAGCCTTGAGCACCAGTAAAATACATGTCTTTATGGCAATCCTCAAAGCAGAAATTAGAAAAATGATGGTGAACATTTGGGTGAGTATGGAAGGATAGTGAAGCAGACGTGGCACTTGTGTGAGAATTAACTGTAGATGGTGGTCACATGGAGAATATTATGGTGCTTTTGAATATAAACGGATGGATGTGGGTCAGAGGCACATATGTCAGAGGATATCTGTTCTCTGGACACGTCTATTGGCAGTTTCATTTTGCTGAAAGCAGAGTATGAAGTACCCTTTTGATTTGCTAATGATTTCACATCTTGGAAAGTTAAGGAAGTTTTGAAAACCATGAAGAAAATCATGTCAAATCTGTCATTATAGAATTCATAATAGCACAGGGTGGACCGCTGAGCATAGCGAGTCATTTACATTAGGAAATCTAACTTTGGAACTTTGGGAGAGGAATGTAACAGGAGGCTCTAATAATGACATTTACAGGGCAACCTCAGATTGTATCTCCAAGGAAAATAGAAGGGGAAGCACCTGCAGTTGAAAAAACATCATGACTCTGGACCTGCTCTGATCTCAAATCTTTTTTTTTCCTTTTTAATTATTTTGATCTCAAAACTTTAGAAAGATTGTTTATATGTGAATAGCAGCCCTTCATAGGAAGATGAATCTGACAGAGGGGCTAGCACCTTTAAGAAAAATGACAGGATAGCAGAAGTTCAGATGGCACTGAAGGTTGGCGAAAATGCCAAGGATATCTGAGAAGAGATTTAAATTGCGATAGAAAGAAAAATTAGACCAGTTGTTTGGGAAAGGTGTTATATTGATTGATGACCGATGACTGAAAGAAGCTTTTTTCCCCTCCGTCAAGATTAATCTTATCAGGAAAGAACACACATGGTTAAGAGGAAAGTAAAGGCCAAGGTAATGAAGAGATAGAGAATGCCTGGTTATTTTAAATAAGTCTGTTGCCAGGTTTAGGAAAACTATATGCCAGATTATTGAAAGTCTTTAGATTTGGGATCACGGAGCCAGAGTTTCTTATCTTTGAAGAATTATGAAGAGTGGGAGAGAGTCTAGATGACTGTGGTGATAGATGCATTAAATTTTTTTGAAAAGATGAACTCTTGACTTGACATTAGAAGCTGGCAAAATTGTAGAAAAGTTTAATTAACAGAATATACTGTGGTATTTAGAAAAGGGATTGGTGGTGACTGGGCACTGATGTTGGTTAACCAACATGTCATTCCAAAACAACCCCATTTCCATCTTTTATGGTGATACGAGATTGATAGATCAGGAGAAGATGATACATTTGTGGGGGGAGGCGGAGGTCAGGCAGTGACGCGAGCTATGGGGAGCAGCTGTAAATACAGACGAAGCTTTGCTCCCTGTCCACTCACCTCCTGCTGTGTGGTCCAGCTCCTAACAGGCCCTGGATAGGTACTGGTCTGCGGCCTAGGGGCTGGGGACCACAGCTTTAGCCTGCTTAGTAAGAAGATTATAGAGGCTGTCCAACATTAGAAAGAAGGTAATTGTTTAATTGACCACTTAGGTCACTTGTAACCTTGAGAGTGTATAATTTGAGGACTTTATAAATCCTTAATAAATGTATCTGGCTTTCACAGTTCTCTTTTATTACCATACTAACAAGACTTATTCTTTTTACATTTTTCATGTAAAGTCGAGATATAATAAAATATTTTGTTCTGTGTTGTAGTTAAGATGACCGCTGATTAACAGGAAAGATTGCCAGAGTGAACTAGTAGTTATGTAAAAGAATAATAGAATTCCTCTGTCTCTGGTTTTTTCCCGTTTAAATGAATACAAATAGTTTTTATTTTTCTACTAAAATTAAAGGTAAATCTTATTAAATCTGCTTGTGG